GATCAAATCCATAAGTCTGCTATCAGCCCATATGTCCGATACCAATCTATAAAGTCCTCTTCCATCTCATGCAACACATGCAATGAAGCCGAATGCAGGAAGATCACAAGCCAGTGGGAGGGAAGTCTTGTGGATCCAGTGGTATTGTAAGCATCTCAGTGGTGGGAGGGTTCTCAATGTGGCTTTTCCATTCAGGGCACTAGCGTAGTGTCATGTGTCTTGTCAGCAAGCATGCCTCTCAGAGAGTAAGTATGTGTTCCACCTCCAGCAAGCTATTTGTGTCCTTAGCACCTCCAAATGTGGTCATCAAGTTACAATCTGATTGATAGGCTAAACTCAACCCTTTCACTCATAAACCTCTCAAATTAACACCAGATTATATAATTACCACAGTATATGGTCAAAACCCAATGGTACAGAAGGAAGAAGTCCAAGCTGCATTGAAACCATTAGCCAAAAAAATGGCTTCAGATATTGATTGAATAACAACTGAAATGTTTTCCTCTAGTTGATGAAGGATTTACTCATCTATGCCAAGAAATTTGGAAGACAGTTACTTGGAGAACTGGCTGGTAGAGATCCATATTTATACCCATTCTAAAGAAAGATGGTCCAATGAGTTTCCCAAATTCTAGAGTAATATCAATGATATCACATGCAAGTAAAATTTTGCTGAACATCATCCAATGCAGATATGACATACTATTACAGTAGTACATTGATAGGGAGATGTAGGAGGTTCCGGCCAGATACAGAGGAGGATTTGGGACAAAGAATAGCATCGCTGATGTCAGGTAGATCTTGACTGAAAGCAGAGAATACTAGAAAGATGTTCACTGAAGTTTCTTTTCTAAATGATCTCATCTTACTTGGAATCATACCAATGCTCATGGAAGCAGCTGGTCTTGAGTTCAAATGAAGTGTGGCTTTGGGTAAATGTTCTGCACAAGACTGCTTCAATGTATCGAAAAGAAACAAGGTTATTCTGAGGACTAAGTTGCTTTTGACCCAAACAATGTTACTTTAGAACACATTTAATAAGGAAGATCAAACAAAAATTGATGCATTTGAACTATGGTGTTGGCAAAGAATATTGAAAGTACCATGTACTAGTAAATGAGCAAAGAGATCTGCAGGAGAGCTAGAGCACTCCCTAGAGAGTGCTTTGCACATATTAGCAGGAGAGACCAGTGTTGGAGAAGGACATCATAAAGTGGAAGCACAGCTGAAAGGGGGAGGCCCTTGATGAGATGGATTGATGCAGTGGGTGCAACAAAGGACTCAAACAGAAGAACAACTGTGAGGATGGCACAGGAGCAGGTAGTGTTTTGGTTTGTTATAGACAGGATCACTGAGTCGTAAGCAATGTGACAGCACCTAACACCAGCTACAGTTTGTTTTATTGTGTATAGATATCGTATTGGAGAAAGAATGGGCTTCTTCTCTCAACCAGCTAGTCTTACAAGCTCACATGGGCGAGTTCTACCCTGTCTTAAAGAGTCACTATGAGGCGACACCGACTCGAGGGTACTGAGCTTGATATCTACCATATTGTCTAAAATTTCATTTAAAAAAATACTTCCTTAAGTTTTATTATTCTCATTAACACCAATTCAATACAGGATTTCAAAATTTGATTCAAACAGTCTGTCTGAATTTATGTCTCCAAGTATTTGTGCATCTCTCTGAAGCTATAAGTAATTGTGTTTATCTTTTTGGCTTATTTTCTATAAATCATACCATTTATAGAATGTGTTATAACACATTAATTGAATTGAATGTGTTATAGCACATTAAAAACAGCAGTAATATTATACTGCAGTCTACTATTTCCAATGTGAGTAAAAATAATTAACTATCTCCAATGAGGGTTTTGGGTACTGGGACACTCATGAGGCACGTGTTAGCAGTTTCTGTGGATAGCTAGTTCTCCAGAGAAAGACGGCCTTTCATTGGAGCTTGTTTTGAAATGGCAAGATGAGAAGGCTGCCAGGGACTTCTTCACTGTTAGGGACCTGTTTCCGAGAATAGCCACAACACCCAGCAAATAATCAAAAATGGTTATTCGATACATTTGTAAATAAAGAATGTGGTAGGAAAATATTAGCTGTCTGGAATGACTATCTATGGCATTGTAATAGCATGCTTAGTGTTTTTCCTAACTCTATCACTTATTTTGTGGTGCACAAGTTAGGATCCCTCTGGTGAACAGAATTATGGTTTCTCATGTCATATGCATTACACCTTGAAGAGTACTAAGCAATCAGCAGTTTGAAAAAAAATACAACTGCTTATAAATAAGACAAACAAGGCCAGTGTCTCCTGTTTATACAACCTTAGGGGTTTGTGAAAAAAAATAGCATCATTAGAGGCTCTAATATTTAGCCCTGTGGATGAAATAAAACAGTTGTATAGATTTGTCTTGTTAGAAAAGAATTCTAAAAAATAAATAAATAAAATAATTCTATGGTAGCAGAAAACCTCAAATAGGAAAAAAAAATAAAAAGAATGTTATATAAAAGTGCAATACCTTTCTTTTTCTGAAGAAAAGTCCATTATTTATCATTCCATCTATTTAATGTAAACACGGATTTAAGTACAACAGCCTGATTTCAGAGAATTAGCATTCAGTTATCAACTACAGCTCTGAAAATACTATTTTTCTTTAAACTAAAAGAGCCATAAATTCTTATACAATGTAATAATGATGAGATGAGCTCTATGATTAAAAATAATAAATAAAACTATCCTTTCTGTCATATTTTATCTATCCATTCCTCCATCCATCCATCCATCCATCATGTGAACATAGCCAGTATCATATTCCAAGATCATATGCTATAATTTACTTGTAAATAAACTTTGAGGAAATGATATTTTAATAACAATGACAGTTGGCATTGTTAGCTAATAGCATTGTTAGTTGTCTACAATGCCACAGGATCTAGAAGGGAAATTTACTCATTTTTTGTGTAGTTGTGAAGTTGTATTACTTGGTATGAATCTTCTATCCATAATCTTTGTAACTTCCAACAAATGACTATGTGGGAGCATGCAGATAGGGTGTGTGGAATTCAAACAAGGACACTGGTCAGTTTTGAACATCTATTGGATAAGAAGGGAGCTAGCCCAGGAACAAAACCTGAGAAGCTCAAGACAATCCAGCAAGAAAGTCCTGGGCAGAGGATATCCAACATCTCTGAGAATGAAGCGATGGCAGCGGTCCCAGTGGGAACGCAGAGACCAGGAGACAGAAGGACTGCCTTTTCTGTCAAGGAGCAGATAATGCTGGCCGCCTTCCTGCAGGAGGCTATCTGGTAAAGCTGAGTGTCCTGGCGCATTCATCAGTGCTGAAGGAGCTTTGCAACTTTTGCATGAGCAGGTCAGAAGTCAAGGGCATGTGTTTGAGAGACCAAGGGCCACAGAGGTTAAGGGCCTGGCTGAGAAGAGGAACTGCAGACAAATGAACTACTGTATATACTTGTGTCTAAGCTGAGTTTGTCAGTGCATTTTTAATACAGTTTTGGTGGTAAAATGAGGTGCCTCGGCTGATATTCGGGTCGGCTGGTACTTGAGTATATCAGCTATGTTCTGATCAGAACATTTCTGATCCGGAAACATGGTAACCGTTTTGGTTCCTTAGTAAACTCCACAATCCTGTCTACTGTGTGGTCTGTGAGTTCTGTGTGGCCATGGCCCTGGACTATCAAGCCCACGGGAGAATTAGAATGCTGTGGGAGGAAGGCTGGGGTCGGAATTAGGTAAAGAAGGTTGGAAGGTGTGTCACCTTTGTCTTCTAAGAATAAGCCTTTAGCTAGTGATTCTCTATTTCCTTCTTTGTGTAGGAAGTCAAATGTAGCCCCACGCCATCTATTGTGTTTCCTCATTGTTTTCCCATGGAAGTAAACAGAGGCTGATCTGCCACCAAGTCTATTAGAGAGAGTAGAGGAACGAGGTAGAGGAGATAAGAATTTTTACATATTGGCTTGGTTAGTTATGATATTCCTGGAAATTAAATGGCTGGTAGTTTAATCCAGATTATTATATCAATGTATTTTCTGTGTCAGTAGCAGTAAGAATAACATTTTTTTTCCTTTCAAACAATAGGTTATTCCAAGATCATATGCTAAACCTATTCATTTTAGTAAAACATGTCAAATAGGATTTACACATAGAATTTTTGAGGCTCGGTAATATTCGTCTATTTTTCTATGTTACTGATCTGTTTACTTATATGTTTGCTTATTTAGGAATCATAATATACCATAATACCCAAACAAATAATAATACAAATAATATCTAAGACCGCTTTCTCTTTTTCTTCTACCCAACAATCCTTCAAAATATTCAAAACTCATTACCCTGAAGTCTAGTCCAACTCCCAGTGACCCTGGAGTAATCTCTGACAATTATTTGAATGGAAAATGTGTGCATATATCTGTACATATAGAATCTTTCTTCTTCAGATAACTATTAATAATCACAAGACCAGGAGACAAACTGATGTATGTAGAATTCTGGTAGAAAGAATAGTGACTTTGCTTACATAACAACTTTATTAATCCCTCTGCATAAGAAAATTAGTTTTTTTTAAATCATTTTATTGGGGGCTCATACAATTCTTATCATAATCCATCCATCCATCCATTGTGTCAAGCACATTTGTACATTTGTTGCCATCATTGTCAAAACATTTGCTTTCTACTTGAGCCCTTAATATCAGCTCCTCATTTTCCCCCTCCTCCCTGCTCTCCTCTTCCCCATGAACCCTTTATAATTTATAAATTATTATTTTGTCATATCTTACACCATCCGCCATCTCCTTTCACCCAGTTTCTGTTGTCCATGCCCCAGGGAGGAGGTTATATGTGGTTCTTTGTAATCCGTTCCGAGAAAATTACTTTTATAAATTAATAAAACCACATGTTCCATTCCAAGATAAAATTTCCAAAAATGTTAGTGTTTAAGTATTTAAAAAGATATATTCAATTGCCTTACAGAAAGATAAGGAAGACCAGTGGCTAGAGAAAAAAGTACAAGGAAATAAAGATCACATTATTTTGGAGCATCTACAGTGGACAATGGGATATGAAGTACAAATTACAGCTGCCAATAGATTAGGATACTCTGAACCAACAATCTATGAGTTCAACATGCCACCCAAACCCAACATAATTAAAGGTAAGCAAAACTGTTCGCAATGTGCTTGTTAAGTCTGGAAAATATAGCATCATCTCTCCTATAAGCCTTATAAGTGTTTTCGTCATATTGAGAAAAAAATAGACTGAAATCTAAATTTCTGTTCTAAACATGGTTATGATGAAATTGTATATTCAAGATCCATGAATCTGTCTTGCCATGCTACATTGCTTAATTTGTAAAACATAATCTGACAATTGTTTTTGTTGAAGAGGTGGAAAGAGGATTAACGAGGGAAAGATGGTCTGTAAAACTGACTGATGAATCGCAATGTGGAAATGTTCTTTTGAGACCAAAGAAACATTTTCAAAGACACTAACTGTGCCATTCATTAAGGCCCTTGACTCTGGGAAGATGTGAGCCAAGATAACAGTGAGCTAACCCATGCCTAACCAAGCAAGTTGCTTTTGGATAGATATCATCAATCACACAGGAAAGCAGAAGCTGCTACCAAAGGGCTCCATAGAGGGAGCTATTTCTAAAGTTTCAATCAGGCTCCCTTCCTGACAAGACACACTCACTTGGCACCTGTAACTCACTGCTAAGATGCTTCTGCATTTGGTGGCCTATACCTTTAATAGGTATGAGTGTTAATAATATTATCAATGTTCACAGAAATATTCTAAGTACATTTTCAGAGAAATACTATGCAGACAAAATGTTTAAAATATTATTTATTCCTGTGAATGTGTTGGCATCTTAATTTTTTGGTAGGTATAATTATTTAGTATTCACTGAAAGTGTAAATTGGTATTTACATTTAATATATGTCTATTCTTATCTTATTATATAATTCAACTTGATATTGGAACAAACTATATTTAAGAGTGGAAAAGGGTTAGAATTTGTAATGTCAGTTGTGCCAGTTAACGCTCTGGTAATTCCAAATTGATACTCATCCCATTCTTATATTGCGTATCTGTTGTTTATTTTTTAAGTAATTTTATAGGATGGATCTTTTGAATTAAAAGTACTGGTGTACATTTTAATATTTTAGGATAATTAATATTAGAGTCTGCACTACTCATATGCTCTCAATTGCAATTCAAAATTAGGAGGATGGGGGCGTTTAGAAATGGTATGGATATTTCATCTTGTACGTAAAATAACATTTTTATTCCTTAGCATTTCTGCATGCATTACCTCATTTCATTATTACATCTCTAGTTAAACAGGGATAGTTATTATTTTCATTTTGCAGATGGGACTTCAATAGGTAAAATGATCTAATCAATATCAGAATTACGTAAGTCATGTGATTCAAAAAGAAGCAGACAGTCTAACTAGCCCCTTTGTGTCTGAAACTCGCCCCTTTGTGTACATGGCTCATCATTTACAAGTTTTTATGTATACAGTAATTATTCTCTACACACATTTAAGGAGCATGTTATGTTAGAAATATAATTCTGAAACAACATGAAATCTCTGAAGGAATTAATATGCAGCAGTGTACTCCAATCTCCTAAATCTCAAAATTATTTCATATTTCTGTGCAGAAAATAATGCATTCAATTAATAAGATAATGAATGTACTATATACAATAAGACATCTTTTTAATAATATTTGTGGATAAAGCACACACATTCACACACAAAGGAAATACTTAAACAGGTGGCTCCATGTAATAATACTAGTTCCTATTATTTTATTCATTTAAAAAAATAATTTTATTGGGGGCTTGTAAACTCTTATCACAATCCATACATACATCCTTTGTGTCAAGAAAACTTGTACATTTGTTGCCATCGTCATTCTCGCAACATTTGCTTTCCACTTGAGCCCTTGGTATCAACTCCTCATTTTTCCCCTCCCTCCCCACCCTCCTCCCTCATGAACCTTTGATAATTTATAAATTATTGTTTTTTTGTCATATCCTACACCATCTGACATCTCCCTTCACCCACTTTTCTGTTGTCCATTCCCCTGGAAGGAGGTTTCATGCAGATCTTTGCAATCAGTTCCTATTATTTTTATGCAATTTTGTATAATAAAAATAGCAATACATACATAAAACACAAATGTATATATATGTATATCTATTAAGCTTAAAGGCACAATAATACCCAAGACCTATATGATACATTTAGTTTCAAAGTTTTTGTTTTATTTCTATTATTTGAGAGTCAAATGTGAACAAGACCTCGGAGGGAGATAAGCAAAATTCTGTTTTCTACTTCCAGCTCTGCTCTTGCTTCAAAACTTCTCTTTAAAACCAAGTCCTTCTCTCTAGGAGTAGTTTCCTCTGGCTCTGTAATATTACGGGCCATTCACTCCTCTCTTATATAGCTATTTCGTGAGTGCTATAACAGAACAAACATTGACATAAGTGCAATGGCTTCCGCTGTTAAAAGAACAGAGCTGGCCCTTGTTCTGTAATCCTGAAAATCTAGTAGGGGAAACAGATAATAAACAAGGTTTATAGTAGCCATTCAGTAATTACAACCCAGAAGTCTATGTTATAATGCAGGGGGAATTCTTGAAAGGATATGACAAGGAAATAAGTTGAAGGGTTACTTTCAGTGATGAGCTCTAAGACCAAAACCAAACAAAATTCCCCAAACCAAACAATGTCATCTGCTTAGGAAGTAGAGAAAGCATAGCGGTAAGGGGGAGGATCAAGGAGTTTATGTGGAATAAAGCTAGGGAGCGAGCTGAGACCTAGACATGTCAAAGGTATGTTAAAGTCTTGGTAAATAATTTTTAAGATGTCCTTAAAATATAATGTTGAAAATGAGCTGACACCAAGGGTTCAAGTGGAAAGCGGGTATTGTGAGAATGATGAAGTCAACATATGTACTAATGTGCTGGACACAAATGATGTATGTACGAATTGTGATGAGTTGTATGAGCCCCTAATAAAATGATTATTTAATAAAAAAAATATTTTGACCATTGAATTGGATGGTATGTAAATTATATGCCAATAAAACGGTTTTTAAAAGTTAATATTTATGTGTATGTATATATGTATATATATATATATATATATATATAAATTTTGAATATGGGAGCTATTTGAATAGCTAGGCATTTTTTGACGTAGGAGCCTTAATGTTATGTGGTAAGAAATGGCAAATAAGGAAAATTTGAAGAAATATTTAAGTAGTGTAAAAAGAGAAGAATGAATAAATTCCAAATATGTTGTGGCTATTGACTAATATTGCCTCAAAAATTTATCACTTTTGATAGATATTGATGGCTTTGCATTTCTTTCTTGTGCAACTAGGACATTTTGATGTTAATTCTCAAGATGAGTCTTTTACGAGGAACAGGATTTGGAATAGGGGGAATCAATTAAACATTGAAAATTAAATATTTATAAGGCTTGACATCCCAAGTGGTCAGTTAGATTATGGGGAAATTTGGAGATGGAAAGAGATGTCACAGAAAGGTATGCACATCATGCAATTGTCAACCCTAACAGATGAGTAGTATGTGAAGCTTGGGTCAGGCTAGAGCCAGTGAGATAAAGATCTTACATTTTATGAAAAGTAGTGTCTATATTGCTCATAGCCTTTTTTTTTCTACATTTAGAAGGATGACTGCTATAGAATAGATAGTCAAGGCATTCTTTAGTGGTTCAAGAGTGGAGGATTCAAAATGGAGAGCCAAGGAACTGCAATTTTATACAGAAAGAGAAAAGCACATCACAAAAAGGTAATAAGCCTGAGGCATTATAGAGAAACTAAAAAAACAAACAAACCCACACAGAAGTTTCTTAGTTCATATATGTCAATACAAGCGATATTTCAAGAGGAAACAGAGAGTAAAGCACTGATCAGATGCCAACTGAACTGAACTGAACTAAAAAAGATAGGAAGTGAACTTGACTAATGTGGTTTGGGTACAATTATTGGTAGAGAAGTTCTATTAAGAATGCGCTGAAGGTTTTGTGGAGGTTGTTTCCTTATGAAAGTTAGTAGAGCCATTGATAGAAGGATTAACAACAAAGATGATCATGCTTATCACGTACCAGCGAGTCTGTTCTGACATGTTGGCTTAGACAGGGTTCTCTAGAGAGAGAAAACCAGATTGCTAATAATTATATATGTAGTTATTTATAAAGATAGATAACACAAGAAGTGAACAGTTAAATTATCAAGCAGATAAATAGATATATAACACAAGAAATAAACAGTTAAACTATAAAGCAGTACAAATGGCTCAGTACAATTCAAATGCATTAGACAGTTGTCAGACATTGGCAGGCCTTCAAGTCTGGAGGGCCGCCAGGTCGTCCTCTGTAGACAGAGCTAGGCTATCCCAGCACAGGCAGCAAACAGCGAGGCAAGTCACCAACAGTCAGCCTGGTCACCAACAGTCAGTCCTCAGCTCAAGAGATGTAAATTCCAATTCTGTGGTTAGGCAAGTCTTTTTTTTTTTTTTGTATAAGAGAGAGTTTTATATAAAGGGTAAGTGTACATTAAGAAAGCATCCCAACCCAGTGCCGCCCAAGCCCATAAGTACAACATTAGCCCATATGCCCAACACCAATCTACAAAATCCTCCTCAATCTCACAAAACACACACAATAATATCGACTGTAGGAGGAAAGCCAAATCAGTGAGCGTGTAAGCATCTCAGCGCTGGCAGGGGTCTCCACACAGGTGCTCCAGCACCCAGGGCTGCATCGGGGTAGGTCCATGTGGCTTCTCCTCAGGGATGTCTTGCAGGAAGTGATCCTTGCTAGCTGAAGCAGCTTAATGGGACCTCAAATTACAGCGACACAGTCCACGGGTTAGGTGTCCCACAGGTAGTGTAGCTTGCAAATTGAGGCACAGCACAAGCAAGGCAGCCGCACACTGGTCCAATGTTCAAAGAGCTAGAGGCAAGAAAAGCGAGGCCCGCCCAGCCATTTATCTCTCCGCCCTTCAATTAATCCCATATGTGTTTATCAGCCAGACTGGCAAACTATCTCACATGTACAGCAGAACACCGTCCAATCCTGTGACATCCTCACAACTGTTGTAATGTTTGAGCC